AACAAAAAAAAAAAAAAAGGTCCACCAGGCATCTCCATCATCCTTCAGCAGCAGCCGTATGGAAGCACAAGAGCTGCTGCAACACTCCCTCTAGCAGCCATATTGGAGGCTGTCAGCAGACGACGGTGTTCGTGAACGTGGGGCGTAGCTATAGATGACTTCAAACAGACCAGGGGACCCGAACCAGGTCTCAGGTCCACATCGGTTCTGGGTGGGGTCCAACGTAGATTTCTCCAGTATGTGTATGTATTTATATAGTTATCTAAGCAAAATTTGGAGCTATAGACCTGAGAGGACATAAGAATGGTTGAAAAAGAGTCTGATGACGACAACAACCAATCAAAATTCAACAAATTCCTGTATTGTAGCTTCATCATGTTGGCTTGTGCCATTCATTTTAACAGCCATGTTCGCTCGGTAGTTCATCAGGCCTGTGTGTCTTTAGACCCGTATATAGCTGTGACACCATTTTAAAACTGTCATGGTTTTCCCAACTGTTAGAATAGATCTGGCTAGAGTAACAAGACAAATGCTCTACACCACGGCAAATTTCTGTCTGGACATATCTGGTCTTGTATAATTTAAGTCATGGGCTATTTTCAGATTAAAAAATTGTTCAGTCTCAACAGAATTCAAAAGAGCTGCAAAGTGGAAGAAAACACTGGATTAAGAAGTTTAATTTTTCTCTCAATACTTTCCTCCGGATTCTTGTGGCTAATGCAAAGTTACCATCGGATTATATTACGGCCATAGGTTTTAATGATTTCCGTTTTGTTTACTAAGAAATGATGAATAATTCTCAGGCACTGGTTATGGAAAAGAAACAAAAGGACACAAATCATAAAATCATTTTTCACAGCAGGCCATTTGGCATGTTATAGCCCTGGTGTTAATGTAATGAACTACACAATGTTCTCAGGCCCTGTGTCTGCTGAGGAAAAAGTTCTATTGCCAGAGTTGAGTCTGAATTAATTTAAACGGCTCATTGTAATTTCAGACTTCTACAAAGAGAATCTTAAAATTTCAGCTCCATTATTGGATGTCTCTTCCAGATATGCTTCTTCAGAGTTGTTGGATGATTTACCTCAGGTTTTTATGTGCCTTTGACTATTACACAGTTGCTCAACATTTGTACTGGTAATTCAGCCAGAGATTTTATTTTTTTCCCACTCCCATCATTTAAACTTCTAATGTGTTCCGTGCAGTAAATGAATGGGACTTTTAACTTCCAAAACCCAGGACCCTCCCACCACACAACTCTGTAGGTGTGGGGGTGTTAGAGAGTAAGACTGTGTTTACAGAGAGTCTATTTATTGGCTGACCATCACTGTATTGTGAATTGCACACCGGGTCAGGTATCGCGCCAATTGTCTCTAGAGCGCTTTCAAAAACAAACATAGCATTCACAGACGAGGTCGTGTAACTCTCCGTACCAGCAGTGTTGAGAAGCGTACTTCTGTTGCCTCTGTCTTTCTGAGATCTCCCCGTTCGGTGCGAATGTAGTCGGTCACATTGAAACACGCGCCAAATGTTTCGTCGGACGCAATGCATAAGATAGGGATGGGACTGAGGAACTCAGTCTGGGTTAGCCGGTTTACCATCAGATCACTGTCATGCTGTCGTCTGACCAAACAAACAGAAAGACTCCAATGACCCAACAGCTCCTCTAACCCATCCAATCACGTAGGTGGTACGTTCCTACCCTCTAATACCACCCACAGTGTTTCCTTAATTAGCCCCCTGCAGGAGGTAAACACGTCCCCTAACGGTAAAGGTGGCAGTTTTAAACAAATGGTTAACGTTGTGAAACGGCCGCAGTTTGGTTAGGATTGGTAAAAGATCACGCTTTGTGTTAAAAATAAGTTATGACTTAAGTAATCGTTGCGTTAAAATAACTCGGCCTTTGACCCAAACAGCGGCCTCCTGAGTCAAAGTCCTGTGCTTGTTTGACCCAGACGTTGCCCTCCGACCTGACTTCCTCCTTTGCTGCCGTCATAACTACTACCGCCACCTAACGGCAAACGTAAATATGGGTCGTGAGAACGCTGCTTGTGCCACTGATGGGGTCGTTTTTGGGGAGGGAGGACGGTCTCCAATGACAACACCAAATAAAACGCAACAAGAGAGGCAAGGGGCGACAGGACAGACGTTCTACTTCAACCTGCTGGTGACAAACGGAGCAACAACCTACAGCAGCCAATTGCTGATCCAGTCACACTTCTCACACAAGATAAGGGAGAAGACATTTTTTATATCTTTTCTTTTTATTATTATTACATTTTTCTTCCACTGTGAATGGTAATGTTTTTATAGAACAAAGTGCTTATGAAAATGAAAATGCTTATGTGGTTTTTTTTCGGTCACATATTAGCTTGGTGTTTTCACATGTACGTGCGCTGAACCCCTCAGACTGAGTCGGTTAACTGTCCCTACATTTGGAGACTTGCAGAATAGGCCCACACAGCCCTGTTATCATGTTCCAGCCCGGTTGCTCCCCGCAGTATTTCAACTTCATCGTCACATGCTCACTTCTCCAATGTGTTTTTAAAATTAACAGATGCTGGTCGATTTTTTAAAAAAAATTTTAAACATATAAAACCTCTGCAACTGCTAGTAAAAGGAAAGAAAAAGAAGCTATGTCCTTTGGTTTCTAAATTTGCATTAATCCTTTAAGAGTACGAGAACTATTCTCTGTGGCTCATAGATAAAGATGTAATTATTTAAACTATTGCCTTTTGGTTTCTTGGGATGTGTCGGGGTCAGATGATCTGATGGATGGTTTATAACACTCGGTGGCTAAACGCACCTCGGTGCTGTTGTCTAGTGTCACGCCAGCTTTTCTCAGGTGTTTTTGCTTCTAACTCTTTTTGTGCACATTTGAGAGGGATATCACACTATTTATCCGTTTGTTTCATGGTGGTTTTTAAAGAAAAACATTTTTTTAAACTGTGACCTGATGATTATTTTATTGTTAGAAAAATGAACTCATTGGACTCCATTTCTGTGAATAAATGAAAAGAAAAGTGTTATACCACTCGTCGGTGTCGGTGTGAATGTTCTGAGGTCATCGTGGGATGTCTGGGCAGTCAAGACTTAAACTAAGAATTTATTTATTCACTAACATGGCAGTTCTGTTAACGGGGGTGTTAACCTCCCAGTTTAAAGATGTTGATCGAGGTACTTCCAAAAATATAATCTAAATTAAAACCTTTTCCCAGCAAACGTTAACCAAGGGCCCCTAGAAGACTGCAGACTGTCTTCTTCAAAGACCCCTGGGGGACTGTCTTTAGCTTAGCGTCATCGGTAAAGCATCTGTTTATTGCCTCAATCTTTTGACCTTCAGGGAAATTTGCAAGTGTACTGTTTTGCATGTGAAGAATCGGGCCGAGTATATAGTACGATAAAATGAGGGAAATATAATAAATAATTTTTAAGACTTCCTATTACCTTCAATTTTGAAAATCAGTTTAGACACCCTGAGTGTGAGATAGGACACGGATGCAATTAACACGCACAATGCACGAGCAATGCACTACTAATATAGTAGATAGAGTAAATGGAGTTTTTAAAATTTTGGGAAATGCGCCAAAAATGTAAAAACGATTCCTATAAAAGACAAGGTTAATTAACAGTTATTGTTGTGTTATGTGCATGAGATCTCATTCAGAAAAAAGAAACGAGAGTTGAGTTTACGTTGACAGATCTGATTTGTTCTATGCAGCGAAGGCCCTCAACTTGACACGTAAAACCCGATGGCGAGGCAGTCCGGGTGGTCAGAGCATTCTGAGGGAACCATGGATGTGGTTTGGATCAGATCCCAGAACAATATTTCATTATTATTTTATCCTTACCGGTGAGAGAGAGATTTCTTTGGGGGGAAAATACTCCTAGTAAGGACCTACTCTGAACGTAGCGTCGGATTTTGAAAAAAAAAAAAAATGGATAAAATAATACATATAGATATTTAAACCCAGATACAACCATGTGAAACATCCTTGACTTATAGGGTCAGCAGTGCTGCCACAAGAGGGCAGGGAAGATCCATCACATTTATTCTGGATACATTTAAACTTAATTGCTGGTCTCTAAACTTAAATGGCAAAAATATTCTTGAAAAAATAATAAACCTCTGTAACAAGCATTCCTGCCGATATTTATGGATATGAGTTAAATCTGGTGAAAAAAAATAAGTTGTAATTTATAAACCTAAGTGGAAAAAAAATACTCTGATACATGCAGGATGATGCAACCAGGGACTTAATATCTTGGTGCTAAATAGATTCTAGTAATATTCACTTCAGGACTACATTTATTGGATTCTCAGTCAGAGCCTTAGTGGACGTGAGCAGGTTTGGGATTTCTTGCTAGTATGTCTGACTGAGGTCAGGAATGTTCGGTCTGAGGCCGCGGGTTTCTGTGGGGGATGAGACAAATTTCACAGGCTGCTCCTCGAGGGGAGAATGGGTTGTTGCCAGCACAGCTTATACCTCCACAGTCGGTACCTGCAGGTTACTGTTGGTCATCATCCACCACAGTAGAATACAGCCAGCCTGCCTCTTACTTCAGAAGGCAGAACAGAAAAGGTCAGGGATTTGTGGTAAAAGACCACAGGTTGCCCCAAAAGGTCCTGCAAACTTTACCTTTTATCTTTTTTGGGGGGTTTTCAGGACAAACTGGGCTGTCATGAATTTGTACATAGTTACATGACTGTAAATACAACAGAAACACAAAAGAAACAGAAAGTTCAATCTCAGATATTTATTCAAATCACACACAACACAATGTTGACCTATTGGCTTTTGAAATTTGTTCATGTAGGCCTTGGAGGGTGGAATAAGCACTGAAGCGAAACAGTGATGAAAACCTATTTACATATCTTCCAGTCAAGACCCTATTGTTTTTTTTTAGGGGATTATTGTGTGTTTTTTTGTCTAATAATGTACGCAGCTCCTTCATCCATACAAGGACCGAATTATTTATTCAGTGATGTAAATAATAATAATAATCGGATGTCACTTCCTGCCCACTTATCAAGGAAACAATGAATTTATTTTATTTGTTCTATTTGATTATTATTATTTTTTTTATATTTCCTTCTCATGTATCTGCTTTTTATTTTGTCAATAGAAATGGTATGACTGATTGTTTGTTCATTCTTTCAACTAACTAAAAAACAAAAAGTCCACATAGCTTTACAATACTATCCAAGCGTGCAAAGGATAATCTACACGTTATTTGCTACACTCAGGATACTCTACTCGTTATTTCTGTTGCCGCCCAAACAGCACAGACGTGACTAGGATGGGGAGATTGCCATGTTATTCCATTGTGAGCGGCACCTGACATCAGCACACGCAGACGCACAGCCTCTGTTTCGCTTACAGACTCGACCCAGTGCATCATGGTATACATCTTGCCCACGGTAGGCTCTTTAGCTAACGGCTAACAACGACTTGTACACGATATCGCTGTGTCAAAGCCGTGTTGTGTGCGTCACAACGGCATATGACCAGTAGGCTAACGTTAGCTGACACGTGTGGACCACAGTTTCAATGATACAATTTATAAGAGAATAAAAAGGGACTCTCTGTTTCAGGGTGTGTGTGGTCTTTGTGTTGAAAGCAAAGACTGTATATAAGAAGTGGACGTAGTCATCGTGACGTCACCCATTGTTTGTGGACTGCCGTTATGAAGCCTCGAGTTCGGCGATTTCGCTGTTGCCATCTTGGATTACGGCCGAACGCCATGTTGGTTTTTTTCGCAACCAATGAACAGAAGTCACCATATTCGGAATGCGGAGGAGTGACGTAAAGTTGTACGTAAAATGGCGTATATGGCTCTGTTAGCAGCAGCGACCTGTCAATCACAGTACCCCCGCCCTGAAGCATACTGTGCTTTATTGTCTATTTCACTCGAAAAGGGATCATAGTTTACTAAATGAACATCATGCTGTATTGAATAAGACTTGAAACTAGTGATTGAGACTATAAACTCATGTTTACAATGTTAACTAAGGTAATAAATCAAGTGAGAAGTAGATCATTTTCTCATAGACTTCTATACAATCAGACTTATTTTTGCAACCGGAGGAGTCGCCCCCTGCTGGTCAGCAGAGAGACTGCGAGTTTTAAGACACTTCTGCATTGGCTTCACTCGGCAGAAACGGGTTGAAGCACTGGTCTCCAGTTTTTCCCAGTACACATCTAGGCCTTTGATTCCCCGGTCAGGCTGGGCCCCTCCCTTCCTCCATCTGCTAGTTAAGTGCCGCTGCTGGTCTGCAGTTTCCTCCAGCAGGTCCGAAGGTTACAGCGCTCTCCCCCACACGTCCTTCTAGAGAAATCCCCTTGTTGGCTCCTACTGGCCTCTCAGCAGACATTATTGTGAGGCTTCTCCTTATAATTTAACATTGTTTGACTAGATGAATTATATATGACAGAAGAAGAGTCTCTGATTTATTTCTTAAATGACACACTATTTTCTTTGATCCTATTCCATTGCACATACAGTATATTTTTCTAGGTTATGATTTACCTCACTGTGAGCCTCAAAGTACCACACTGTGAAGACAGGCTAAATGCCTTGTTTTGGTTAATTTGCATTTTGACTCCACTTGTAGTGCTTTGGTGGTATTTCTGCGGTCAAATGCTGAACAAGCAGTTGTTTGGCCAATCATTTGTATGTCTGGTAAAGTGTAGTTGACGCTCCTGTCTTAGACTGTCATGGTGGCCCCTCATGCTGTCGTCCCAGTTATTCTTTTATCAAATGATAATCAAATGCATTAGTTCCAGTGCATTAGAGCATTCAGAGGAAAGATAGAAGTAACAAATAGGCAGATAAACAAAATGCGAAACCTCAAATGAACAAAAGGTTCTCCCTACAATATTCAGAGCATTAGCAGCAAACAATTATTTGCTAAGTAAAGCTATAGTGGAGTAATGTCTAGCTGAGCAGAGAATGAAGTCACTCTCCCTCTGTGTGTGTTATCTGAGCTTCTTTGTTGACATAGCGGGTCCGGCCGCGCTTGCATTTTAATGCATGCTATCGTGGCTAGCTAGCTAGCTCACGGCCACCGCTCCGCACTGCGCTCATGCTGCGGTTACGACTGATAACGCCGTCCCGACCGACAGTGTCGTTCAAGAAGCGCAGCGCCCACCCTCCGGTTCCCCCACAGGTAAACACTGTTAGCTCTGTCAGTACTGTTGCTGTCGTTTGCACCGTTTGCTGCGAGCCGCCGGCTCAGCCGTTGCCATGTTGAGAGCCGTGTGGAGGCAATAGATATGCTCAAAATTTTTTATTTTGCACCTTTTAAATGAAACCTGGAGCTGCTTCATGTTCCTTTTTCAATGAAAATGGCTACACAACAACTGTAACGTCTGAAAGAAAAACACGTCTGAACTTCTTTGTTTAAAAAAGACTCACAAACAGCCACACTAGCTTCTTTGTGAAGCTGTATTTAGGTACATTGGTGCTTTGAGCTAAATGCCAACATCATTATGCAGACATGCTCACAGTGAGAATGCTAACATGCAGATGTTTAGCAGAAAAAAAGTTTACAACGTTCATTATCTCAGCTTAGCGAGTTAGTATGCTAACATTAGCTATTTAGCGCTAAACACAAAGTACAGCTGAGGGAGATGGGAAATAGTTTTTATCTAGAAAGATACCATCCCTAGTATCTGCTAGCCTTCTCTAACCATTTACAAAAGCACATTTTGTCTGTCTCTCTTTCTCTCTCTAATGTGGACATCATTTATATAAATCAGCTATCAGCAACATTAATTCAAAGTAATTGGAATCTGTGTCAAAAAAAACATATCAGTCAAACCCTAATACACACAAAGAGTAGTAGTTTTGGGGGTGAAGTCCACTGTGTGTGTGGACACAATGAAGTTCTCGTCATCACAGGCTATCTGCTGCAAGCTAAGCCAAGTTAAACACACAGCCACCTGAAAGAGGACAAAACTTTGAAGTCCATCGCTCCATTGGCTCTGGTCCATTGCTTTTCTCTCTTCCTGTCCATTACAGTTAAATCAGCTCTGCTCATTAAATCCGACAGTTGTTTCCCGTCTTTTCCTCGTGGCAACCGTGACGCTGAGGCCAAAAACCCGGGAATGAATCACATCACGTGCTGCAGCCTAGACGGTGACATCTGTGAAGTCTTGTCTGGCAAATCCTTTCTGAAAAACATGGACACAATGCAAACAAGATAAGATATATTGTCTTTATTATTTATCAAATAAATGGGGAAACACATTTTGATGCAACACACCAACCTACTTAATCGTGTATATTCTTGTCTGCCACCCAATTGTTTTTCATATTAAACAGAGTTTTTTGGTAATTTTCTGTTTAATCTACAGCTTGTTATTGGTTTGAAATTTTCATGTCTGCATTTTTAGTTTTTTTTAGATGAGGAAATATTTGGTCAGGAATGGGAAAGGATTCGCCTTCTGGAGACCATGGATAGCCAGAAAAAGCAGCTGATTTCATGGCATGTTTGTTTGTACTGTGACTGTGTACTGTGACGGTGAAGACTTTTGTGAGAACTGCATGAGATTGGCTCGAGGACAGACATAACGGGATATCTACCAAATGTAATAACTTCACCATGGCCACCTGGCTGTCTGATAAACAATGGCTTTGGTTTTGCTGTGTCAGGTTCAGTGTGTGGTGGTGGTGCTGGGGGGTTATACAGGGGAAACAAAACAGTGTTAAGGGACTGCCAAGTCCACATAACCAAACTCTCCTTTTATTCATCCCAGAAGGCACGAAATAGACAAAAGCAAAACGTCTCGGGCCAGATCCTCAGCATTCCTGCTGCAAGTGGTCACTCAACAACTAAAGCTCTTCAAAACTCAGCCCAGACAGCAGCAGTTGATGTTTTCAGGAGATAAAGCAGGGATCCTCACAAGAATGTAGAGAGAAGGAATGGGGTCACCGTGTTAGACCGCTTTCATCTTTCAAATTATGTAAGTGTAGTTTTGATAGAGTCAAGTTTTCTTTATGAGTTACTGCCATTTACAAAATACAAACCCTTAACATTTGAGGCATTAGAGGAATAAAGTGTTATCAAATTTAATCAGTGTGGCATTCCACAGCAGATTGGTAAAACACCCTCCATAAAAGGGGCCGCTCCTCTTGTTCTTGCCAAGGCCGCTGTAATCTTGTTAGCCACTCACTTTGGATCTTTATCAACTTCATGAACTTGTGAAAAAAACAGCTATTGCTTAGTTGTAACATATTGTCTGATTTTTGAGTTCATTCCCAATTTAAATAATTGCAAGCATTGCCAGGGGTTACATCCATACACGGTCTTTCAAAATGAATTGTTCACAAGAACAACATCTTAGTTAGAAAAACAATTAATTGGTTAGGTTGAGGTTTCTGTTGAAATAAGAACATTTATTATGCTAGGTTAGGTGCGCAATTTAAGTTAATTAAGTATTGCAATGTTATGTAACGTTACGTAACCCACATAATGTTACGTAACATTACATAACATAACTTAAAATAAGTCAACACTTGACTTTTGCTTTCACATGGAACAGTGGTCTCCTGGGTGAAAGTCCTGTGTTTTTTGATCTATCCATCCCCAAACTCCTCCCTTCACGTACTTATACTACGTCACCTGACCTCCTCCTTTATTACCGCCATTAATATGGCCACGTAGAACGTCAGTTTGACATAAAGGGCCACTGGTGTTGTATATTATTTTCAAAATATTCACAAACAAATGATTATCTATCTGCTGGATGTGTAAATAAACCACTGTTTGCTAATATATATATATATATATAT